GTTGTAGAAGGTCCCTTAATACCTGTAGAGGTACTATTCTTTCACTCGTGTCGGCAACTAACGCGTGATTGAACAATAAACTTCACGTGCTTTCTCCTTCACCGAAAATCTTCAACAAATTGCCCGTGATTTGTGCAAAGTTGAGTGTGCATATGACAGGTGATGACGCGGTTGAAAAAGACTGGCGCCTCTTCGATATCTGGGATTAGCGCTTCGACAAATTACCCGTGATTTCCGCAAAGCTGAGTTTGCATGTGACAGGTGCTGACGCGTCTGGAAAAGCAAGATGCTTCTCCGATTTCTGAGCTTGCCTCTTCGATTTTTGAATGGCCTCTTCGAATTCTGAGCTCGCCTCTTCGATCTCTGAAATCCCGTCGAGTGCTGATTTTTTATAGAGGCATGCAGTTCGTTTCAAAGCACACTTGAATTTTCGCTTGTGAAAACTCCTTTCTTTTACTTCTAAGATCTTGATTTGTCTGATCTCTTCTTCCTTCAACATTTTGAAAATGTCTGGACCCTCCGATCGTCGTTTTGATTTGAACCTTGGTGAAGAGGTAGTCTCGTCTTCTCCAGATAACATATGGCACTCATCCTTCATATCCCCTACTGGTCCTCTTACTGTTGGGGATTCGATGATGAAGAATGATATGACCGCTGCGGTGGTAGCCCGGAACCTTGTCACTCCTAGAGATAACAGACTACTTTCCAAACGGTCTGATGAGTTGGCTGTTAAGGAGTCCCTGGCTCTTAGTGTGCAGTGTGCGGGTTCTGTGTCCAACATGGCCCAACGCCTATTTGCTCGAACCCGTCAAGTTGAATCGTTGGCGGCTGAAGTGATGAGTCTCAAACAGGAGATCAGAGGGCTCAAGCATGAGAATAAACAGTTGCACAAGCTTGCACACAACTATGCCACAAACATGAAGAGGAAAATTGACCAGATGCAGGAATCTGATGGTCAGATTTTACTTGATCATCGAAGGTTTGTGGGTTTGTTCCAACAACATTTGCCTTCGTCTTCTGGGGCTGTACCGCATAATGAAGCTCCAAATGATCAACCTTTGGCGCCTCCTCTTCCTGGAGTTTCGTCGAGTGGTGTGGCTTCAAACAGTCAACCTCCGGCGCCTCTCATTTCTGGAGCTATACCGAGTGGTGAGGCGGCCCGCGAGCAATGAAGGCTTATTCCTGTTTGTTTGCACTTTTTTTTTTTTTTTTTGCATGTGGAATGCGAATTTATGTAATTTTTTCAGAGAAATAAATAAAATGGACTTTATCTCACTCAATCATTTTTTTAGTGCTATATATTATATGCATACACACACATGCCGCATCATGATTCTTTTATATGTATTATTTTTTTTCTATTCCTTGCTTTTGGTGGTGCTGGCACCCATCATTACTTCCCCCTTTTTTTTATATCACATTTTTTTTCTTCTTTTCAGAAGGGTGCCCATGCAAAACCCATGTTGCACCATTCCAATTGCCCTTTTATAATATATATATATATATATATATATATATATATTTTTCACATGGTGCCAGATGCACCATCACTTTTTTTTTCCTTTTATCATGGTGTCGCCCACCACTCCGAAACTTTTATTTTTTTACATTTTTTTTCTATAAATTTGGCTTCTAGGCGAGAACGAAAGCACGGGTCTCGCTAGGAAGTGATGAAGAGCTTCTCGGCCGGCTAGTTGTTTGACAGCGGTCTCTGAGGTTGTTGGCAACCGTGAGACAAAGGAAGAAGCTTTACCACTACCACCACTGAGCACATGCAAGAAGGACAACCACCGAGCACAGGCGAGGAGGTTTTGGTGGTGCAAAGCGTCGCGCTTCTCGACCGACTAGTCGTTTGACAGCGGTCACTGAAGTTCTTCATCGACTTTGATCATGGTGGCCAGAGTGGTGAGCTTGAAGTAGTGCAAGGTGTCGAGCTTCACGACGGAGAAGCAAAAGCGCAAAAACTGGATAGAAGCTACGGTGGAGCAGCAACAGGCATGCTTGGATGGTGTTCTTCAGCGTCGTTGAAGAGAAGAGTTCTGGCGATGGCGTGGCAGAACTGGAGCTGCTGTTCGTTGATCAGAGGAGGAGTCTCGGTGCTACAGCTAGTTTGCAACTTTTTTTTTTTTTTTTTTTTGCGTGGATGTGGTGGATCGGTCGAGAAGAATTGCACCGCTCAGTCTTTAGGAACCTCTGGTAGACAATGGTTCCTCCTAATCCAAGCTCTTCGTGGCTGCTCTCGCTGGGCGTGATGGGCAGAGACAGGAGAGCTGCAGGAGAAGGACCTCGTGAATACCAGAATCGCCACAGATTCTTCGAATGTCGCCGTCAGCACCTCGTTGTAGACCTCCAGCTTCTGCAGGTAGTGGCGAGGAGATTGCGGCGGAGAGGGAGCAGGGTCCAGCGGACGGAGGTGACGAAAGGGGAGAGGGAGGATGAGGTACATCAGAGTAAAGCTTGCCGATGTTCTGGAGGGTCGAATCTGATTGGGAGATTACGAGAGCAAGCACCAAAGGAGATGGGACAGATGTGTTGTAATTTATCACCAATTAAACAGCTGGAATCATCATGAATTACCAGATCGTCATCACCTCGTCTAGATTGATCCAACATAAGATGCTCAGATGACACAGATTTAACATCCACATTAAATCATTCCCTGCCTTCTCAGACATTGCAAAAGCAGCATCTAATTTTCCAACTTCACCTGGAACAGGCCCAAGATACACACGCTGCATGATCTTCCCAACCTTCTTGTCTACTTCATGAAGATTACCCACTTCATCACTTGCCAACATGCCACCATCTTCTTTTCCAATATTCCCAGAGACATTCCACGGTGACTGACTCATTTTTTTGTTTTTTTGCCCATTATGATTGTCGGCAACAAGCTTGTTGATTGCCTTATAACTCAATACAGACTTGCCATCATCGACTTCCTTGACTCTACCAGCAGTGTCCACTGATATTGGTTCTCTTCTACTGGCTAATTGTCTCTGCCGCCGCTGATATTTCAACTTTCGTGAGCTGAACAACGATAAAAGTCTTCGGACCTGAGCTTTGGAGAGACCGAAACGGAACTTCCAATTTGAAAAGTAGTTATCTTTGATTGCGCCACTGAATTCAGGTTCTGAAAGTGAATGACAACGCCAAATAAGCTTCACTTTTACCTGAGCAGGAAACTGCCTTCCTGATGAATTGTATGCAGAAGGCGAAATATTCATTTCACCATCAGAGCATGCTTGAAAAACACCATGAAGTTCTCTCCTCTCGAATTCAAACAGAAACAAAATCATTCCAGTTTTAATCTGCTTTACAAATTGGTCTTGTGAAGACGGAAAGCCAAACAGTCTCCGTTCAAAACACTCATCTATCATTTGCACTGCTTGACATGAAAATTGCGCCATACTCCGGATATAACCCGCGAAAACAATCCTGCTCCTCGTCTGACTCCATTGGTGATCAGAAAAAAGAGAGAAGATGAGGAGGTAGAAGAGAGAAGACGACGACGGAGTGGGGATCCGCCAGGTCGATGGTGGGGATTGGGGTATCGGGTTTGGTGTGGTGTCGGGGGTCGGGTAGAGATTCGGGTGGAGATGGTAGGTGGAGCCCATGGCGTGGACGACCATATCGGAGAAGGCACCGGAATTGAAGCCCTCCGTCTGTATGTGGTCGCAGAGGGCTGTGAGGTTGCAATCGTCATTTTCATTTGCAGCCCGTGCGACCGCGCCGGCTTGGTCGGGTATTGCGGGTCCATGTGAGCCGCAGCACCACTGGATTTTTCCGATTGCGAAGTCTATGAGAGTGTCGATGGGAGTGAGAGCACGGTGTAGGCATCAGAGAGGAGATGGGAGAACGACTGAAGCAGTTGTGGGTGATGAGGGATTCCGGGTAGAAGAAGCTGAAACGAGAGGGAGACAGGTGGCTGAGTTGACCCTTCAAGATGGTCCTTCACACAAAGCAGGCCTGAGCGACTTCTTTTGATGGGCTTGCCGCAGATTAGGCTTGGGGTTGCTTTGGGGTCCATATATATATTTGTTTCCTTTTTTTTTTTTTTTTGAATGAAACACTTATTTATTTATTTATTTTTTCTTAAATACATAGTAATCACATATGTATTTTTTTTTTTGGTACAAAGAAATTGTAATAGCATCAAACTTGTAATAAAATTTCTTATTCTTTATTTTGATGTGACTGAACTCAAATTGAATGTTCGAGCTGCCTACGTACCCCTCCAAAGAAGAGATCAAGTCGTAACGTAGTTCAAACACATAGATATTTTTTTGTATTTTCTTTTGGTGGTGCCGTTTGTAGTTTCAACTCGTGCAGGCAAGGAGCGTTGGTGAATTTGTCAAGCAATTTTGGAGAGGCGTTCCTCACAATCTTCATAGCAAGGAGCCTTGACAGAGTGATTGAAGAAGTCTTCAGGAAAGAAATCACGCATCGTGATGGGGATGGACGATCTATGTGTCGAAATTTCATCATCTTCAACACGTTCACGTTGCTTTGAAGGTTGACAAGAGCTGCTTTGCCCCCTTTCCCATTGGTGAGCTTGTGGAGAAGACGTATGCTTCTTGTGCAATTTCTTAGGAGTGACTTGAGTCCATCCTTCAATTTTTCTTGTCTTGAAGGATGCCCCCAGCGGTTGAGGTGAAAACTTTGAGTCGGAAGAGCCAAAAGTGAAGGTGGTATAGTTTGACTCCACCACATCGTCAAGATCTAGCTCGATGATTCCTTTCTGAGCCAGCTTCATGATGAGATCTTTCAGCACGAAACATTTTTCTGTCGGATGACTGATGAAGCGGTGGAATTTACAGTATCTTAGACTGTCGGTACGATTCATCTCTTCCGGCCGTCTGCACTGACACGCCCCGATCCCGATGTCCTCGTGACATCGGGATGATCACGTGCTGGCCGACACCCAAAGGGTGACGAAAGCCATTAATTTAAGTAAAAACTCATAAATAAACTAAAACAGGCAGCAAGACTAGCCACAATAATACTACCAAATCAACTTCTAATTAACAACATTAGGATCCACGCATAATGTCAGAGCATACGTCTATTACAGAGTACAAACATAATTTAAGATAGAGATGTGCTATATTACAAAAGATGTCGAAGCAGAAGAAGTATAGCACTGGATCACTGGTAGGGAAAGGCCTCGTAGCTTATATCGTAATCCTCGTTCGTAGGTCCTGAAGGGGGCGCAAAACAAACATGAGTGGACCAATTTGATATAAATATAATAAAACAGTTATCAACATACTAACCCCCAGGTTTTATGAAAACATATATATCATGATCAAAATAGATTTTCCGAAACCTAGCATGCCGTGCAATATCTCAAATTCATAACTTGTATAAGTAATAAACACTAGTGAATTGTCCGATAACCTGCAGGCCCCATGCCGGCTCCCCGTCTCTGAACAGACAATCAGAGGAAAATACACTACAGGCCCCATGCCGGCTCCCCGTCTCTGTGCTAAATAGCCAGAGGAAACACACTCCAGGCCCTATGCCAACACCAAACCGTCGCCCGGGACGGACCGAAATCTATCCCTACGTCCCGTAGCGGAAAGGACCACTAGGTAAGTACAAAACCATTGAGCATAAACATATTGAAAAACAACTTCGTAGTATAAAGTCATCCATCATCTATACTACAAAGAGGTGTTCTAAACATGTTCTAATATCATATCGTCATCCATCGGATATTCTATAAGAACATGGGTTATAGGAAAAATAGTAATAATTCAATCTAGCCTCAGTAAGCATATATCTCATAAAGTACTTCGTAAAACATAAGTATTAAATCATGCTTTTCATGTATGCATTTCTATTGTTAAAACATGATTTTGAAGGGGTCCACTCACCGTACACCGACGGTGCAAAGCTATACCAAGAAGGTATAACAGAATCACCGTTAATAATTGCACCTATTCACACAAAGGAGTACCTTTGGTCAAACTCTATTCAAACGATTGAATTTGGGAAAACGGACTTCAAAAACGGGTCCAGGACGTCGAAATTAGCCTAGGAGAGGTCCTGAACGAAACCCCGAAAAGTCAACTCAAAAAGTCAACGTTGACCGTTGACCGGTCAAAGTCAAAGTCAAAGTCAAAGTCAAAGTCAACTCTGACCATTGACCGAGTCAACGTTGACCGTTGACCAAGTCAACAGTCAACAGTCAACTGGTCAGAGGTCAAAGTCCACTGGGCTTTGAATTTGGGTTGGGCCGAAAGGCCTTAAAGGTTTTGGGTTGAAAACCGAACTCAGATTGGCCCAAGGCCTAATCTGCTTGGGCTACACACACGGGCCTAATGCCCTAAACATAACCGGCCCAAGGGCCTTAATCTATAACAGAAATTAATTTAAACAATTAAAAGGAAATGGGTTGGATTGGGCTGGCCTCACCACACGGGCCTAAGGCCCGCCTGCTGTTCGAAACCGGCCTGGGAGGCCTGGCCTCACCGGAGCACCACCACCGGAGCTTCACAGCTCCGGCCAACTACCACACACCACCCTAAAGTCCGATCTAGGTACCAAAACGAAGAGCAAGACGAATGGAGTGTTTTTTATACCTTCCTTTCGTCGTGGAACGACCGGAGATGGCCGGAAAAAAGCCCCGACACCCTCGGGATCGCCGGAGTTGGGTGTGCTTACACCCGGCTTCGATTCGTCCTAAAAACCTCGAAAATCACACAAATAACCTCCATTAAAACTCATTCACCAGATCTTAGGACGAAAAAGTGAAGGTTTGGAGCTTACCCAACCGGGAAAATAAAGGTTTCGCCGGAGTTCCTCTCCGGTTTCTGGGCTCGCAGCACGGGACAGAGGGAGAGAGAAGAAGGAGATGGGTCTTCTTCGCGCGGGGGAGACGGGTGCGTGTGCGTGCGGGGTGCTGCAGAGAAAGAGAGATGAGGGAGCTATGAGAGAGAGAGACGAGAGAAAGAGATAGAGTCGGGAGGGACAGAGAGACAGACAGAAGAAAAGAAAAGAAAACAGAAAAGAAGAAGAGAAAGAAGGAGTCACGGGGGGGGGACAGAGAGAGAAGACAGGGAAATTGTTAGGGAGCTGCCACGTGGCAGTTTGAAAAGAAAGAAGGATCCAAAACTTAGATCCTGATAGGGTAGTCCAAAAAGGGTAAAATTGATAGATTTATAATATTTAGGGAATATTACACACATATAATTTTATAAGTGGGGGCGGGTGTTACAATCTACCCCCCTTATAAAAATTTCGTCCCCGAAATTACAACTTCAAGCAAATAAATACGGATACTGACTCCTCATCAGGTCTTCCGTTTCCCACGTCGCTTCTTCAGTAGCATGGTTCCTCCACAGCACTTTCACCAACGGAATGACCTTGTTCCTCAACACTTTATTCTGCTGGTCAAGAATAGCCACTGGTTCTTCAACATAACTAACATCTGGACTTACTTCCAGCGGCTCTAGCTGAATAACATGAGAGGGGTCCGATACATATTTCCGAAGCATAGAAATATGGAAAACATTGTGAATCTGAGATAACTCCGGTGGCAACTCCAATCTATAGGCAACTGCACCAATTCTCTCCGTAATCTGATAAGGACCAACATATCGAGGACTCAACTTTCCTCGCTTACCAAAACGAACCACACCCTTCCAGGGAGACAACTTCAAGAATACAAAGTCACCAACCTTGTACTCCCGATCTTTTGAATGTTTGTCCGCTATGCTTTTCTGTCGGTCTTGAGCTGCCTTGAGATTTCTCTTTATCAGCTGGATGTTCTCATTGGTAGTGTCTACAATCTCCGGTCCCAACAATACTCGCTCGCCGACCTCTGCCCAACACAACGGCGTTCGACACACTCTCCCATACAAGGCTTCATAAGGTGCCACACCAATACTCGAATGGTAGCTGTTGTTGTATGCAAATTCAACCAACGGCAGATAGTTATCCCAACTACCCTTCCACTGAAGAACAGACACTCTCAACATGTCCTCCAATGTTTGTATTGTCCTCTCGGACTGACCGTCAGTCTGCGGATGATAAGCAGTACTAAACAGCAACTGAGTACCCATGACAGTATTAAAAGCTTTCCAAAATCTGGAAGTAAATCTGGGATCTCTGTCTGAAACAATAGAGACAGGTACACCATGAAGTCTAACAATATTATCGATGAACAACTTCGATAATTTCTCCATTGAATAGGTCTGTCGAACAGGTAAGAAATGAGCGGTCTTAGTCAGTCGATCAACAATTACCCATATGCCGTCCAATCTCGACCGCGTCCTCGGCAGACCATACACAAAATCCATGGTGATGTCTTCCCATTTCCATGCTGGTATCGGAAGATTCTGCATCAATCCTCCAGGTCTTTGCCTCTCTGCCTTCACTTGTTGACAAATGATGCATCTACTCACATAATCCGCCACATCCCGCTTCATTCCCAACCAATAATAGAACGGACGGATAGTGCGATACAGTTTAGTACTTCCCGGATGCATGGCATAAGCTGACAAATGTGCTTCATCCAGAATTGCTCTTTTCACTGCTTCGTTATCATGAGGAACATACAATCTGTTTTCCCACATCAAGGCTCCATCACTTCGGATGATAAAATGCTTCTCTTTTCCTTTTTCCACTGAAACCTTAATGTTGGCACTTTCCTGATCAAGCTCCTGAGCTTCTATGACCATATCCACCAAAACAGGTCTAACTTGGAAATTTGCCAACCACGCTCCTTGCTCACCCGGTCTCACCGACAAGCCTGTTTCTCGAAGAGAAAATAGTAGTGGAACATGAATAGCTTGGAGAGATGCAAGCTGTCCATGATATTTCCGACTAAGTGCATCTGCCACTACATTGGCATGTCCGGGATGATACTCGATCGTGCAGTTATAATCAGTGATAAGTTCCATCCATCTTCTCTGCCTCAAATTCAAATCTCTCTGAGTAAAGATATACTTGAGGCTCTTATGATCAGTAAAGATGCGACACTTCTCACCGTACAAGTAATGTCTCCAGATCTTCAAAGCAAACACTACTGCACCAAGTTCCAAATCATGAGTGGGATAGTTTCTCTCGTGAATTTTGAGCTGTCTGGAAGCATAAGCAATGACTTTGTCATGCTGCATCAGTACACAACCCAAACCTGATAGTGATGCATCCGTGTAGATATCAAACTCACCGCTATCGTCTGGAAGAGTAAGAACGGGAGCTTGAGTAAGACATCGCTTCAGTTCCTGAAAACTCCGCTCACAATCTTCATCCCACTTAAACTCCACTTCCTTTCGAGTCAACTTATTCAGAGGTAAGGCAATGGCTGAGAAACCTTTAACAAATCTTCGGTAATAGCCAGCCAGACCTAGAAAACTCCTCACTTCAGTAACATTCCTCGGTTGCTCCCACGTAGTTATTGCTGACACCTTCTGAGGATCCACACTAATCCCCTCAGCAGATACTACATGACCGAGAAAGCTAATTTGGGTTAGCCAGAACTGACACTTGCTAAACTTAGCATACAACTGCTCACTGCTCAACCTTTCCAACACCAACCTCAAATGCTTCTTGTGCTCGCTGACACTCTTGGAAAAGATCAGAATATCATCAATGAACACAATCACAAACCGATCCAAATACGGTCTGAAAACTCTGTTCATCAAATCCATGAACGCTGCAGGTGCATTCGTCAGTCCGAAAGGCATGACACGAAATTCAAAGTGTCCATACCTAGTGCGGAAAGCAGTCTTCGGTACATCTCCCTCCCGAATTAACAACTGGTGATAACCTGAGCGAAGGTCGATCTTAGAGAATATCTGAGCACCTTTCAGCTGGTCGAACAGATCGTCGATCCGAGGCAAAGGATAACGATTCTTCACCGTCACCCGGTTTAACTGCCGATAGTCGATGCAAAGTCTCATCGATCCATCCTTCTTTTTAACAAATAAAACAGGAGCACCCCAGGGAGACATACTGGATTGGATGTAACCTTTATCCACCAACTCCTGAAGTTGAACCTTCAATTCCCTCAACTCCGCCGGTGCCATTCGATAAGGTGCTAAAGAGATAGGGTCTGTTCCTGGAAGTAAATCGATGGTAAATTCAATTTCCCTCGCAGGCGGTAACCCTGGTAAATCCTCCGGGAAAACATCGGTGTAATGCTTCACCACTGGCACATCCTTAGGACGTAACGAAGATTTATCCCTCGTTACTACATGGGCTAAGAATCCCACACATCCCCTACTCAACAATCTAGTAGCCTGAATAGCGGAAATAATACTATTAGGAAGGATTCGTCGCTCACCCTGAAATGTGATTGACGGTCGTCCAGGTCGATTGAACGTCACAGATTTCTCCCAACATGCGACATAGGCCCGGTGCCTGGATAGCCAATCCATCCCCAAAATCACATCGAACTCCGCCAAATGAAAAGGGACCAGATTAGCCTCCATCATTTCCCCTTCCACTACCACTAGGCAACTTTTATACTCCCACTGAGCACAAAACAGATCCCCTTGCGGCATTTGCACAAGCATATCATAACCAAGAGGTGTAGGTGGTGCATTTAAATTCGGTGCAAAAGATGAAGACACAAAAGAAAAAGTAGCACCCGGATCGATTAGAACCCTCGCCCAATTACCACAAATAAGTAACATACCGGTAATGACTTGAGGATCCTGATCAGCCTCCTGCTGTGTCATGGCGTTGATACGTCCATGAAACTGACGTCCTCCACCACTGTTACGGTTACCACGAGCTCTGAAACCTTGATTATTACGGCCTGCTCGATTCCCCTGAGAGCGGCTACTCGAAGCTGCACCAAACTGTTGCGGCTGTCTCTGAGTGGAAAATTGGGTATTCTGACTTCCACTTCCACTTCCACCATAGCTCTGAGTGTAATTACCTCCATAGCTAGAACTCGGATTACTCCCTCCACCATAACTCGGCACCGATGCATAACTCTCAGCAGGCTGTCCTGAAGGGCAAAATCTGGCAATATGTCCCATGCCTCCACACCTGTGGCATGTAACCTGCGACCGGAAATGACTGAAAGATCGTCTCCCTGATTCATTACCCGAACCCTCGCTGGAAGAACCTGAACCTTGACCCTAACGTTTGAAAGAATGAGAGTGTCTAGGGCCAACAAAGTTAGAAGAGCTACCAGATTCCCTCACACTCCGAGATCTAAAACCACGACCTCTCTGGTTCTGGTTCCGAGGTTGTTCCTGATATCTGGGTGGTTCCTGATACTGCGCCTGCTCCTCCTGGTGCTGAGTCTCCCACCTAGATTGTTCAATCCTCAAACAAGTCTCAATCATTTCCTCATAACTTCTGTGCCTTATGGCTGCCACTCGTTCACGATAATCAGGGTTCAAACAAACCAGCAACTGAACCATCTTCTCACTCGGGTTATCATAAGTCACCGGATGGTGTCTCGACAGGCGTCGAAAAGTATTATCCATCTCTGTGATACTCAGATCGCCTTGACGAAACTCCAGAAATTGTTGTCTCATCCTCAACTGATAACTGGGACTCAGAAAATGTGCACTGAAAGCTTTCCGGAATGCCACCCAAGTCATCGAAGTGCCTCGTGGACGAGAATGCTTCACTCCTTTCCACCAAATCTTTGCAGGACCCTTAAGAAAAAACCCAGCAGTCTCCGCCCACTCACCTGGTGGACATCTCATACCCTCCAGAGTATCTTCCACCTGTTCTAACCATTCCTCAGCCTCCGGACAGGCTCCCACTACCTTAAGCTCTGGAATACCATGACTGGTAGCAATCTCAATATAGGTGCGATTCGATGATCTACCAGTAAGGGCAGTTCGCAAAACATTAGCCAATTGCTCAAGTCCTCCCCCTATACCAGAACGAGCTCGACGAGGTACATGCCCACCAGCGGGATCCATAATTCTGATAAGAAACAAGAAAGATTTAGAACAACAGAAAATTAAGGATATAAGGGGAATTATAATTACCAAATGGTGGAAAAGAATCCTAAGTATGCTCTGAATGAATCATGCTCTGATACCAATCTGACACGCCCCGATCCCGATGTCCTCGTGACATCGGGATGATCACGTGCTGGCCGACACCCAAAGGGTGACGAAAGCCATTAATTTAAGTAAAAACTCATAAATAAACTAAAACAGGCAGCAAGACTAGCCACAATAATACTACCAAATCAACTTCTAATTAACAACATTAGGATCCACGCATAATGTCAGAGCATACGTCTATTACAGAGTACAAACATAATTTAAGATAGAGATGTGCTATATTACAAAAGATGTCGAAGCAGAAGAAGTATAGCACTGGATCACTGGTAGGGAAAGGCCTCGTAGCTTATATCGTAATCCTCGTTCGTAGGTCCTGAAGGGGGCGCAAAACAAACATGAGTGGACCAATTTGATATAAATATAATAAAACAGTTATCAACATACTAACCCCCAGGTTTTATGAAAACATATATATCATGATCAAAATAGATTTTCCGAAACCTAGCATGCCGTGCAATATCTCAAATTCATAACTTGTATAAGTAATAAACACTAGTGAATTGTCCGATAACCTGCAGGCCCCATGCCGGCTCCCCGTCTCTGAACAGACAATCAGAGGAAAATACACTACAGGCCCCATGCCGGCTCCCCGTCTCTGTGCTAAATAGCCAGAGGAAACACACTCCAGGCCCTATGCCAACACCAAACCGTCGCCCGGGACGGACCGAAATCTATCCCTACGTCCCGTAGCGGAAAGGACCACTAGGTAAGTACAAAACCATTGAGCATAAACATATTGAAAAACAACTTCGTAGTATAAAGTCATCCATCATCTATACTACAAAGAGGTGTTCTAAACATGTTCTAATATCATATCGTCATCCATCGGATATTCTATAAGAACATGGGTTTATAGGAAAAATAGTAATAATTCAATCTAGCCTCAGTAAGCATATATCTCATAAAGTACTTCGTAAAACAATAAGTATTAAATCATGCTTTTCATGTATGCATTTCTATTGTTAAAACATGATTTTGAAGGGGTCCACTCACCGTACACCGACGGTGCAAAGCTATACCAAGAAGGTATAACAGAATCACCGTTAATAATTGCACCTATTCACACAAAGGAGTACCTTTGGTCAAACTCTATTCAAACGATTGAATTTGGGAAAACGGACTTCAAAAACGGGTCCAGGACGTCGAAATTAGCCTAGGAGAGGTCCTGAACGAAACCCCGAAAAGTCAACTCAAAAAGTCAACGTTGACCGTTGACCGGTCAAAGTCAAAGTCAAAGTCAAAGTCAACTCTGACCATTGACCGAGTCAACGTTGACCGTTGACCAAGTCAACAGTCAACAGTCAACTGGTCAGAGGTCAAAGTCCACTGGGCTTTGAATTTGGGTTGGGCCGAAAGGCCTTAAAGGTTTTGGGTTGAAAACCGAACTCAGATTGGCCCAAGGCCTAATCTGCTTGGGCTACACACACGGGCCTAATGCCCTAAACATAACCGGCCCAAGGGCCTTAATCTATAACAGAAATTAATTTAAACAATTAAAAGGAAATGGGTTGGATTGGGCTGGCCTCACCACACGGGCCTAAGGCCCGCCTGCTGTTCGAAACCGGCCTGGGAGGCCTGGCCTCACCGGAGCACCACCACCGGAGCTTCACAGCTCCGGCCAACTACCACACACCACCCTAAAGTCCGATCTAGGTACCAAAACGAAGAGCAAGACGAAGGGAGTGTTTTTATACCTTCCTTTCGTCGTGGAACGACCGGAGATGGCCGGAAAAAGCCCCGACACCCTCGGGATCGCCGGAGTTGGGTGTGCTTACACCCGGCTTCGATTCGTCCTAAAAACCTCGAAAATCACACAATAACCTCCATTAAAACTCATTCACCAGATCTTAGGACGAAAAAGTGAAGGTTTGGAGCTTACCCAACCGGGAAAATAAAGGTTTCGCCGGAGTTCCTCTCCGGTTTCTGGGCTCGCAGCACGGGACAGAGGGAGAGAGAAGAAGGAGATGGGTCTTCTTCGCGCGGGGGAGACGGGTGCGTGCGTGCGGGGTGCTGCAGAGAAGAGAGATGAGGGAGCTATGAGAGAGAGAGACGAGAGAAAGAGATAGAGTCGGGAGGGACAGAGAGACAGACAGAAGAAAGAAAAGAAAACAGAAAAAGAAGAAGAGAAAGAAGGAGTCACGGGGGGGGGGGGGACAGAGAGAGAAGACAGGGAAATTGTTAGGGAGCTGCCACGTGGCAGTTTGAAAAGAAAGAAGGATCCAAAACTTAGATCCTGATAGGGTAGTCCAAAAAGGGTAAAATTGATAGATTTATAATATTTAGGGAATATTACACACATATAATTTTATAAGTGGGGGCGGGTGTTACAGCACTCAGGCAAACTGATCACCTTCTTGTCTAACAGGTCATCTAGCATGGCAACCACATTAGAGTCGGGGAATGGATAAGTCTTCTCCTCAAGCTCCTTCAAAGTGCGTCTACGCATCTCTTGATCATGAAAAGCTTCAGTTTGAATCGCCTTGCCTCGTGTGGATATTTTGACGAGAGATGTGTTGACCGTCATCGCTTCCTTGGTGGGTTTCCATGCAACCTTTTCCACCTTTGTCCCAAAAACTTTGTCGTTCTTGTAGTCGGCGATCGGTTCTTTCTTCCCATGATGGGCGATGCTCAACTCCATGTCATGGGCGCGAGTGGCCAATTCCTCGAAGGTTCGCAGTTTAATGCCTTGAAGGATGTATTGCAAACCCCATTGCATGCCTTGGATGCACATCTCAATTGAAGAAATCTCAGAGAGTCTGTCCTTACAGTCGAGGCTTAGATTACGCCATCGGTTGATGTAGTCCATGACTGGTTCTTCCTTCCATTGCTTCGTGCTCGTCAGCTCTAGCATGCTCACGGTGTGGCGGGTGCTATAGAAGCGGTTGAGGAATTCCCGCTCTAATTGTTCCCAGCTGTTGATGGACTCAGGTTCTAGGTATGTGTACCACTCAAAGGCGTTTCTTTTCAGCGAGCGCACAAACTGCTTAGCGAGGTAATCTCCCTCTGTCCCTGCATTGTTGCAGGTTTCGACGAAATGTGCGACATGTTGCTTATGGTTTCCTTTTCCGTCGAATTGCATAAACTTTGGCGGTTGATAGCCCTTCGGCATCCTCAAGGCGTCGATCTTCCTGGAGTAAGGCTTTGAGTACAACGTGGAGGCATGGGAGCTCCTTTCGTACTGTGCCTTGATGGTATTGGTGATCATCTCCTGCAGCTGCTGGATAGAGAGAGATCCCATGAGCGCCGCTGCTTGGTCTGGTTTCGGCTTCCCATCGATTTTCTTCACCGGGGGTTCTTCGTCTCCACCAGATCCTCCCTTTAGTGGATCATCCTCCGAGTCGGGTTTCTCGCTGTCCTGCGCCTCCAGTCGGTTGACTAATGCCGCGATTTGCAAGTCTTTTTCTTCCACAGTTCGAGTTAGTCTTACGATTGCTTCATTCATTTGAGCAAGCTGTTCATCGATTGAAGTTGCTCTAGCGGTTATGACTTGCATGGCTGAGCTGCCGCTTGAATCGTCATCGGAGAGCATGGATTCGGAGTATTCCCTTGGTCTTTCCCCCCTTAGTGCCCTTAGTGAGGCTAAGGTGATCAAAGGCTCGTGCCTTGGGTGCTCTTGTTCCCTTCGTACTATTGATGCAGAGGTGAAAGAGGCGGCAGAACTAGCTTTTGCCATGCTTCGAGTCGTGATGCCCAAAGTGACACCACTTGCGACGATGATGCTCTTGTTCTTTGCGCCGGTTGCGGGAACAGTTTGAGCCGTCCTTGATGCCATTAATTTTGGCAGTGCGCTTGAATTTCTTGAACGGAGAAAGAGATGAGAGGCAGAGATGGTCCCACTGGGCGTGCCAATTTGTAAACACGGAAAATTCCTGAAACGAAAGAGACAAGAACAACGTGCACAAACAAATATTTGTATTTGATGATTTTAGGTTACAATCTCTCTCTATTTTGATCCTCTGATTCGATCTTCGTAAGGTATTGATTTGTGGATGTTTCGTTGATCCAAGGGCTGTTGAGGCTTGATCTTGGATGAACTGTTGGAAGTTTCTTCAAAGGGCCGTGGGCTTGATCTTTGAAGGTGGATTTGAGCGGATCTTCAAGGAGCCGTTGGGGCTTTGATCTTGAATAACGGTGATGAACGGATCTTCAAGGGCTTTTGGGCTTGATCTTGAAGAAACAGTGATGAACAGATCTTCAAGGGCTTTTGGGCTTAATCTTGAAGAACGGTTGGATGTGTGTGTGGATTTGTCGACGTTGTTGATCCAAAGGGCCGTTGGGGCTTGATCTTAGGATGAACAGTTGTGTGGATTTGTTGATGTTGTTGATCCAAAGGGCCGTTGGGGCTTGATCTTAGGATGAACGGATGATGAACGATGAAACTTTCTTCAAGGGCCGTCGGGGCTTGATCTTGAATTGGTGGATGATTGTTGATCCAAAGGGCCGTTGGAGCTTGATCTTGGAAGAACGATGAACGAAGAACGAAGAACACTTTCTTGATTCTTCGGGAACCTGGATGCTTGAGAGCTTCGGAGTTTCAGAGCTTCAGAGCTTCAAGGTGTAATATGAATTGGTTCCCTTTTTATGAATGAAATTGGCTTGTATTTATAGAATTTTCCAAGGCCTAATTTTGAATATAATATCCCAGATGAAATAAGTCGTTTCTGCCAGGTGTTGACACGTGTCCTATTTGATGACTTTTCCAACTCATTTCAATTTTCGTTGAGTCACATGCTACGTGTAAAAATTATGTAATACATGAGTGTTGAAACTTTGATTTATCGGTCAACATTTATTTACCGAAATTTCGATGTCTACAATTCTATCTTCAAATTTATCTCAACAAGTGAATGTGTGAGGAGTTGATTTTTTTCATGTTCTCGGAGCGTGTTATTCCTTTTAATTTTTCTGAACCATTTTTCATGTTGCATTGATTAGATGCGAAAGAAAAGGAAAAATGTTTTCACGGGATGATGCCTTATTCGGTTTATGATCGATTTATTCCTCTTAAAGCTTTTATTAATGCTTCTAACGGATATCTCATGGATGATACCTGTGTTTGGAGCGGATGTCTTTGTTTGTAAAGAAAGAAGAACAGGAAATGGAGAGTGTCTATCAATGATCAAGAATGCTGTTATGCGCAAGCATGTAAGGTTGGGAACTTCTCAAAGTCAGATGCTGAGAGCTACTACTCAGAAGTATTCACTGCTGAAGGCTTGAAGTGGTATATCCGATGATAAAAGATTTCACTCTCGACAATTCATTTACTATATCTTATCAAAATAGATCTAAATCACCTTTTGTCAAATTTTTTCTTCAATGTGTTGATAACGATTTTTGCATTATTCTTAAAAGTATTGGTAAATATCTTGTTAAATTTTTCCTCCAATGTGTAGAGAACCGTTGTTTTAAATTAAGGTAGGATGTTTATGTAATCTTGAAATGTACACTTACTCTTCATGTGATGGCTGTTGCAGGAAGCTACTGCTCTATCCTAAGGGAAATCAGAAAGGAAAGGGTAATCATACGTCTCTCTACTTGGAATTGGATGATCTGAAAGAACCTGTTAAAAGCCCCTCTCTTCTCCTACAAAAGTGGCTTGAGCCATCATTCACAGAAATCTGTTAAAGCAATTAGAGGGTGAGTGTTATTTAGGTCCCCTGAATAATTAGGCTCATTAAATCTTCTACATAGGTTCATTGCCTCTTCTACATTAGGTTCATTGACTTTTCTACATTAGGTTCATTGGCTGAAAGAGTAAATGATGTGTATTTGTAATTAATCCATGCTTGTGTATTCACTTTATATTGTACATTTGAGGATGAATTAAAGTTGAGTTTATTTGAGGATGATTTAAAGTTGAGTTGAGTCAAATTTTTCGTATTTCGAATTTTTGGGAATTCAATTTAATTTTTATTAATTTTAGAGTTACAAAGTTCGGTTTTTCGTAATTAGTTATTAAAAATCCGTAGACCTTTTGGGGTCACTCTTAGTATTTTTGAATAGAGCTCGATTGCACAAATACATAGGCAAAAACCATGCACGAATCAGAGTTATTGAAATGTTATTCGTAATGGATTGTGAGTTGTCCAGGAATTGTCTAAAGCTCTATGTTTTCCTAGTAGATAATGCCATAAGAATTTTTGGAGGTCATTGCAAATACGAATTTTTTGAGATTAACAAAATGGTGAACTATGATTGGCTTAATCTCTTCATACGGTAAGTAAGTAGTCTAACCGTTAGGTTAGGTGCAGCCACAAAACAAAATGAAAGGTTCTTACGTTGGAACTATTGGTTTGTTTTTAGTTATGTTTCGGGATCGGAGCATAACAACTTTAATTGTATAAGAACTTAAGTTCTCGTACCTTTTACGTTGGAATGACTATGTCTATGAGCGAAAGAAAAAAGGAGAAAAGCAAAAAGAAAAAGTTGACAGCAAAACAAAAAGAAAAAGTTAACAGCAAAACAAAAAGAAAAAGTCACAGCAAAAAGGAAAAAGTTGAAGTTGGCTTCCAATATTTCTCAATGGACCTCCAAACCAGTGCTTAAATCTATAATCGCAACAGGAGTAACTGAGAACATTTTCGTATTCTTCTAGATTATAATTGGTTCAGCGCCTCGGGTTCAAGTTATGTTGCTATTCAAAGTTTCAAAATTTCATTTTAATGGGCATGAATAATGCCTCTTGGGAAGAAAGCTTTGCGGGCTTTGTGTGGGAATTTGAAGAAAGACCTTTTTGAAGATTAAAGTGTACGTGTCTTCCTTTATACAATGGATGAAGCTATTGTGTACAGTATTGAGAGACCAAATCCAAGGTATCCACAATGCATGAAGCTATTGAGTACAATATAGAGAGATGAAAAGACATATCTCGTCCAATATGCAGCATGCTCATTGCATTTCAATGTGCCGGAACATAAGGTGGTACACCATATAGCATTATACAATTGAAGAGAAGTATTTTTTTGAAGTGTATAATGACATGTGGCGTACTATCCTGTATTCGGGGCATACTGAAAAATCTCTTCATTGGATGCTTGTATTTCCTTCTTTAATGACATTATATATATAGGTAAGCTCCTCTTGAAGCAAAAGATAACTGTTTAGCCTTACCAGTTTGTCAATCAATTTCAGTTTTATTGCCATGGCTTGTTATCCGTTTCAACAAAATGGTTAGATACTTTATCTGCTTTATATTGCCGGTTTTCAGATTTCCGGATATTGTTGTATGCGATAGATGCCTGATATATGCTTGCATCAACACTTTTCTGTTTCAGGGTTTTCGATATCATATTCAGATTCAGCTCCAACTCATTACTCTCTGAAAATCGGGTCATTTTCATGGCTAACCAAAATTTCAGTGGACAAATATGAGTCGGGAGAATTTGAAGCTGGAGGATACAAATGGTAAATCCCTCATTATATCTTCTGCTGAAGTTTGAGTTTAATATCATCTTCTGCAAACTTATGTTCCACACTCGCTGTCTGACATTAGTTCTATGACATTTTCATTTTTTGTAACGCAATAATGTGTTTCGTATATCATGTGCTGTGTAAGCTGGTAAAAAAGGCATTCTGTATGTTTGCTCTCAGGAAACTAGTGCTCTACCCGAATGGAAACAAGAAGAAAAATGTGGAAGGCCACATCTCTGTTTACTTGGAAATGGTTGGAGCTGATTCACTTCAGACTGGATTCGAAGTATATGTTAATTTCAGGTTCTTTTTACTTGATCAGAATAAGGGAATGTTCCTGGTTCTTCAAGGTACATTATACCTACTTCAAAAATTACGTCTCGTTAAGTGAACATATTCATAGACCTGAAATTTTTCTTGTTTGCAAGTTGCAATGGTCACTGCTCATTTTCTGATCATTATTTTGAACCTTGCATATTCCATAGATGCCAATAAAAAGGAAAAGTGTTTCCATGGGGTAATGCGTTATTCGGGATTTGATAGGCTTATCACTCTTAAATCGTTTACTGATGCTTCCAACGGATATGTCATTGATGATTCCTGTGTGATTGGAGCTGAGGTCTTTGTTTGTAAAGAAAGAAGAGCTCGCAAAGGAGAGTCAATATCGATGGTCAAGGTTGCTGTTATGTGCAAGCATGTTTGGAAGGTTGAGAACTTTTCAAAGTTAGGTGCTGACCCCTACAAATCAGAACCATTCATTGCCAGAGAACGGAATTGGTATCTCTGCTAGGCCCTTTATATTAATACCCTTGATAAGAGAATGTTAAATTTGTTATCCACTGTATAATCTCTTAACACTCATCCTTTTTTACCTGCACGATAATCACCTTTATTAGCTGAAGTCAATTTTTCCCCAACATAGTAAAAGGAATGATTTTTGAGTTTCAAACTATATATGCAATTTTAACTACATAAGTTTCGCACTAGATGTGATCACCGTAAAGCTTGTTGAAATTTTGCTTCCAATGCGAGATATGCAATAAAAAGCCATCATATTCTTCCCAATGTTGCAGGAAGATAGTGCTCTATCCTAAGGGACATAAGAAAGGAAAGGGTACTCATATTTCTCTTTTCTTGGAATTGGATGATCCGGAAAAACTTTCTGGTTCCAAAGTATTTGCAGAGTTTTCCATGCGCATTGTAGATCAAATGCATGCCAAACATGAGTGCTTAAAAGGTAAAGATTGTCCTATTTCAGTGTTTAATTGTATGCATCCTTCATAACATGAGGGTGTATTATGTGTAGCAAACAACTGGTTCAGTACCTCAACTCGGGATTTCGGTTGGCCTACCTTCCTTAAACTGGACACCTTCAGTCAGGCAGGTAATGGGTTTTTGGTGAAGGATGCTTGCATAGTAGAGGCCGATGTCACTATCCGTGGAACTGCAACAGCACTGTAGTCGGCATGTCGTTTGTTTTAGCTGTCGGCATGTCGTATGTTTTAGCTGTTCCTAAAAAGATGTTACGAATGAAAGGACTAAAGGCCTTGTCACTGTCCATGATATTGTAAAAGCATTGTCTAGATGTGGGTATACCATAGTGCTAAAATCCTTGTTCACCAAATGACTTGTGATTGAAGTGTATTTTGATGTTTTTAATCAATTTTAACTGAAGTTTGTGATTTTTGCAAATTGAAAGGCCGCTTTTCTTCTTTTAAAATTTGTAGTGCGTTAAACATATCGAGCCATTAACATGCACATTTTTTAGTATGTTACCTCATCATGTTATGTCATTTAACACTAATAAATAGACATTAGGTGGTGAAGTGATACATGTTCAGTCAAGATGGTGCGTCCTTTCAGAATGATGCAAGCCGAGCACCCTGCTCGGCCTTGGTTATCCAACACTGTCTCTTCAAGCGCCATTCCGACCACCTTTACGTCCCATCCAAGGTCTTTGCTACTAACTGTGATCCGTGATTTGACCTGATTGACTTTTGGGTAAGCATGTTCGTAGAGACTTGTGCCATATAGTTGTTAAACTGCCCATATGCCCCTGGCAGTCGAAAAGCTCTTTACATATCCTAGTTGAGCTAAACTTATAGGCGGTCGACTTTAGCGCTTGGGAGTATCTTCTCCTATGCCCATTGGACCTTGGGCTTCTTAATCTCCCTTGGGCTTTCTATGGCTTCTTTACCGGCCAACACCATTATGTGGGCCTAAAAGTGCTCAACATTTACAGGTATCTCTACAGTTGTTTATGGATGGGGTTGGTATGTGGAGAGGCAAAGAATTCCGCGACCTATGAGCAAGTCGGGTTTGAGACCTCAAGAGATCTTCTTTCCGCGACCTATGAGTGAGTCGGGTTTGGGACCTCAAGATATCTTCTTTGACACGCCCTAACCCCGATATCTCTAAATATCAGGGTATGCACGTGTTGGCCGACACCCGAGGGTGACGAAGCCATTTTAAACACGTATACCATTAAGAATACGTAAATAGAACAAATTAAACCAAAACAGAATTGTGTTCAGAGTATACAACTACTAAGAATAATATGGAAGGATTACTGGGGAAAAGATACGAACAAGGGACTGATACCTATACCGTAGAGTCTTAACGCCGGGATCACGTGCCTTAATCCTAACTCCTAAGGGGGCGCAAAACAGAAGAGGTGAGTGGACCAATGTTTATAATAATAATAATGCTAATAATAGGAAAACATTTTATTTCTGAACATAATAACCTCCTGTTTTGAAAACATATATAATACTACATATAGTAAGTTTTCTGAAAATCTTAGCATGCACGAAATACATTTGTAAAACATTTGTAACTCGAATCCGTGATGTACTCAACTAGGGGTATCATAGTTGCCCAAAGGCAGTACCTGTCCATCACCCGAAGGTGAAGTTGTATGACACTGGATTACGCCAATGAAGAAACATGGTAGGCCCCATCACCCGAAGGTGAAGGTGTACGACTCCGGATTATGCCAGAGAAGAAATATATAACATCACACACTGACACTAGCCGTGGCTAGTGAATCTGTCCGACATTGCTTTCGGCAGTGAAGCTGGGGGTATATCATATGTCATATCTCACTCCTCCTCATCAACTGTGTCATATGGCCATAGACATCTATACCCGTGTTGTGTGGATGTGCTGTATGATAACCCACTAGATGAATACCAAAAACATATCTCAAAATCTCATATCAAATCTCTGGAGTTCAAAAGCTCAAAACTTCATCTTATAATTCCATGATAATTCATACTCGTAAATTCGTAATGTAAATCATATCCAAAATCCATAGGAATCCATATATTCAAAATCCATATATGTAAAACCCAGTAATTCATATTCGTTCGTAAATCGTAATATCGATAAGTCATGACTATTTCGTAAATCATAATTATAGAATTTCGAAAGCACATTATAAAACATATTTAGATCACAAAATATCAAAATGCATGTTAAGCTAATATTTTATAAAAACATATAAGTTAGAAAGAGGTCCACTCACAGATATTTTGTTACCCAGGAACCGCTCAAGCTAGCGAGGATGACGTCACCGGCAACCTCGACTCGCTGAAAAATTGAACAACCCAAAAATTCCCAAATTTCATACCTGGGCAGAAGTCTAATTCGGTCGAGAAATGCGTGAAATCGCCCTTAGACTGCCAGAAACCCTAGAAATGGGTGTGCTTCGATTCGACTTCTCCGGTTCTTCGCTGCCTCTAAGGTTGTTTGGGGTTTGTTCTTGGCCTCTGGAGGAATGGTTTGGTGGTGGTGGTAGTGGTGGTTGGAACCTGCAGGATTAGAGGTTATCGACGTGACCCCTTAGGAACCTACGGGTTTCGTTCTCCTCAAATTGGGGGTTAAGGGAACTGGGTTTTGGGTGGAAATGGAAAAAAGGAAATACAATGAATCGTTTGGTAGAGGTGGAAGGCCGTAACTCATCGGAAAAATGGACAGAAAACCGTCGGGAAAAGTTTTCGGAACTTAGGTCGTATCGTTGTGTAACGGGTCAAGGGTAAAGGGTCCATTTGGCTACTCCCTCAACTCTCTCCTTTCTCTCCTTTCTTTGTTTTCTGATTGGTTCACTCTCTCCTATCCTCATTCCTGATTGGGCAACTCCCCCCTCATTTCTCTCATTTTTCTTCTATCTCATTTGTCTTCATTCCTTTCTATCCCAGCCACACACGTGGCATCATCTCACTACTCCAGTAAAATCTGGAGCCTTCCATATTTATGGTCAATGACCATTTTATCCTCAATTTCGTTCGTTAATAACTCCTTCGTTATAGCTCCAAACTATGTTCCACTTGCACCCACGCGTTTGTAACAACAAGTACTACAACGATATGCCAAGAAAACGGATTTTACGTGACACGACAAGGCGGTCAACAAAAGTCAATATTTTACTTAGAAAGGCATTTTCGTAATTTCATATTTTAAAATTATAAAAACCGTAATTTTTTGGGACAAGTCGTTACATTCTTCATCAAGCTTTCAGTTTTCGAGCATGACGTTTTCCAGACTGCAACAGTTGGAGATGGAGTTGGCGAGCCAACGAGAAGAAGTTGCACGCGAGCAAGAAGAAGTTGCACACAAGCGAGAAGAAGTGCACCTGAGAGAAGAAGCTTGGGAAGAAGCAGCGCATCATCGAGATGAGGAGCTTTGATGCTACATTGCTAGTATAGCGCATGCAATGATAGCTTTGGCACTCACATCGCCGATCCTCTGACGACCTTCAGCTGCCATCCTACCAGCCAACCCACTAGTAGTAATTTAGGACATTTTACATACATTTGTACGAATATTCAGTTTCATATAAATAAATATTTTTTAGTATTATATTTTTTTATATTCGTAGATTAATATAATTAATTAGTTAAATTACGATTTTTTTTAAAAGAAATTAAAACTTCTGCACTTTTGCCCAACGAATACATTCGTTGAGCATGTATTTTTTAGTTTTTTTTTCTTTAAATTAATTGGCCTTGGACCAGTTCATTAGGCCAAATATTTTGAATTTTTTGATTTCCAGAAACCATCGAAATGATATCGCCGGGCGCATTATTTTGTCAACCCAAGTTGGTCAACACACTTCACACGACAAAAATTAAATTTTTGTTGAGAAATGTTTGAGTGACGGGTTCTATGCAACAAACTTGGCCCAACGAATGTCTGTCGGGTAAAATCTTGGGCGACCAAATCCTTTTGTCTGAAAAGGGTTTTGTTTGTAGTGTTTAGGGGTATAAAATAGGAGAAAAACTTTTGTAGGACTTGGCTTGCCAGTAGATTTCGCTACGTGGCACTACAATCCATTCAAAACTCACTACGTGACAAGTCTTAAATATAATCTTTTATCATTTTTTTTATATTTAAAATTCTCATAATTATTATTTTTACTAATTAATATATACCATGGATCAATCTAATGTTTCCTATTTTTTTTTCCTTCTTATTTTCCCTTTTTTTTTACTGTCCCACATTTTCCTTCACTTCATGTTTTGCCGTGGGTTGTCACTCAGAGTTTTTATCAATAATAGCCAAAATTTGGCTCTTAAGTTCAAAAATATTAATTTTTATAAAAACTTTCAAATATAACAAAAAGTTCACTTAAATAGACACAAACATGCTTATTATTTAACCCAATTACACCCAAAACCAAAACCCTTTTGATGTTCTGCAACCCTTAGACTTGGAGGGGAAAACTGTAGACCTGCATACCAACTACCCATCAAACTTTCAAATTCAAAAGTCATTTTTGCGATTTACAAAACTATCATGGATACAATTTTATCAAGCGATGCTTTGTCCACATTTCTTGAATTGTCTTCCACTTCTTTCTCTCTCAAAATTCCTATTTTTTTTTTCCAGTTGTAATTTTTTGACAGAAAATATACTCTAATCAAAATCATTGATTCTCCTCTTATAAATATGTATCCGAACATCTTCTTTGCAAAAAATCATTGATTCTCCTTTTATAAACTCAATTTTGAGCAAGCACCCATGAAGAACTTTTCATCTGATAAACAACTTCATATCACTTTCCAAAAGATTATGGTTTTTCCCAAACAAAGTTGTCCCTTATATATAGTAGATAGAGCAATGCCTTTGCATTCAATGACACAAGGAAAGCAGGTTCTGCATTAGAACTTGTGAATTTCTGTTTTTGCATCTGAGGGTGTTTGGGTAAATTTATATATGTGTTTTGCCATATTTGAAATAAAATCAGACATTTATGAAATTAAGAGTCAAATTTTGGCTATTAATGATAAATACTCATTTACACTATGTGACGACTCATCCTTAATTTTTTATGTAATTTCTCCTCAAATATGTAACGTACTATTTATACCCTTGTTGGCAAGTGATGTGGACGTATTTATTCGCTCTTAAATTATTATTCTTGCTATCGTAATTAATTTGTACTCGTTGTAACTAGTGTGCATTAATTTTACCAATGCTAGAAACACTGTTTTGGATACATGATGTCTGATTTCTCTGTACAAACCTTATCCATTTTCTTCTTAAAAAGGGTGACCCGTGCCTTACACCTTTGCACCAATTATTTTCTCTCCCTCCATCATGCAACCAATCAGATACCCACTCCCATTTCACTGCCCAACTAGAGCTGACACACACTTTCTCTCTCCTCGAAACCTCTCTTCTCTTTGCAACT